TGACAGAAGTATATATATCTTGTTCAGAGTTATAGAACTGAAGTCTAGAAGTTGATTGGCAGGAATGGGGTCTATGTGATGTGTCTGCAGATTCCCCCATCATCAGATGGTGAATAATAAGCTGTGGTTAGTTTCCTCCTCTGGCACTGGGGTTTATAGTTCACGTAATGCTAACAAACTAGTTAACTATCAGGATGAAAAGTGTTACTGTATGACCAGATCGGGACAGGCATGCATTGCCCATTGGAACAGTCTATGGGAAATGGATGTGGCCAGCCTGGGCTGGGAGGGGTTAATATGATTAGCTGGGTGTTGGACTGTCAGCACCTCCCCCAGTGTCCGATGTCAATGAGTGTTGTTGTGTATGTAGCCCACTGCATGGAGGCAGTAGATTGGGTGTAGAAGTGATCGCAGGACTCCAGAGATCTCCCACCCGGAGGATCTTCTACCACTGGCTTGGTGAGTGTCCACAATGACTGAGCCCCCTCTCCTGTCTGACCCATGACCTGCTGCTTGTCCTCTACAATCACTTCATGACTAGAGTTCCATCTTACTGGCAAACAGCAACAGGTTCATTAGAGTTCCCTGTTTGTGTTGCATGAGCACCCACCAATGCCCGCACTCTGGCGTGCATTTGGCATGCTTAGGGTGCCATTACTTGTTATTGGCACCCCCAAACGCGTCTAGTAAAATGGGCATTTTGCGGACACACGTCAAACTCGCACAAATGCACAGGAAAAATGCAGGAAGCGTGCAGCCGGAAATGCGGCATGAGCTACTTTGCCTTTGAGCGGGCTGACACACGGGAAACGCAGCAGAAAATGCGCACGTGCGTGAATGCGACGCCAGATGTGAACAGGACTTTTAAAGTGTATCTAGACAAAACTTTTTCTAGCTTTGTATAGAGTAGGGAAGGGTTAACCCCCCTCACATGTTTATTTTTTACTGTCTGTGTACCATTGGGGAGATTTGTCTGTGAAGGTTCTCATTCATCCAGGTCATGGTATATCTGACAAAAATAAGTCAAGGCAACTGGACTCAGCAAGATTGGGGAGATAGATATTGGGGAGATTTGTCTTCATTTCCTGTCCCAGAGACACACCAGGAATTCCCCTCTCAGAGTAGAACTTTAGGCAAAACTTTTCTTAATCCTTGCAGTGAGGCTGCCCCCACACTGCAAGGGTTAACTTCTAGTTGGTCTAGGAGCTAAAATAAAAGTTACACTCGCCCAATCCCTGGAGCAAGCTTGATCTTAGACCCATTCTTCTAGCCTCTCTCTCCTCCACCTCTGCAGCGGTCTAAGGTCCCTGAGTTATCACGTTCTATACATAGTGTATAGGATTTGAGGATGCTGAGGGACATACCATTGCTGCAGTGGAGGGGGAGGCAACAACAAGGAAGAGAGCACCCCCCTGAATGATGGGAGATAGCAAAGAAGCTAATGCTTCCTGTGCTATCTGCTGTTCATTTGAAAAAAATAAATGATTGTACACTGAGCTGCTTCTGAAGAAGTTTGGGAAGAGGCAGGTAAGCTTGATTTTATTGTAGAAGAGACCTAGCAGGTGTCTACGACAATATGGAGCCTGCCTACATTTTTTTTTTTTTTTGCTCCATGACAGAACGAGGCTACACCCAAATTTGCACATTCGCACATGCAGGCTGCACGGCTGTGCGTGTCCATGTGAATGAGGCCTTAAAGTAATAATGAACTATCAACATTTTTTTTAGTAATGAATCCCAATCCAACAAATATACATTGCACAACAAAGTATTTCTTTACATTTTTGCCCAGACACTTTCAGTCATCATGTTCCTGAACAGCCGACTCCATCTCTCTCAGCTCAACTTCCCTGAACTTCCTGTCCAGTACAAGATCACAAGGGACAGAGCAGTCTATAGCAGCTGTCCATCTATTACAATAGAGAGAGGAGTAGGAAGGAGGAGAGGAGCGGATTGCCTTGCTGTGTTTGTGGAGACACACAGCTTACCAGCACACACAGGGGTGGCTCCATAGGACCCTGCAAGTTAAAGGAGCCACCCCAAAGCAGGATATCAGGACCAGTGCTCAGAGGACCAGCTGATTCTGCAGGAAACTAAAGCTTTTGACATCAAGGAGCAGCATCCATTTTAAGTGATTTCATCAGCTTTTGAAATAGCCTAAGGCTAGGTTCACACCTGCACTACACCGCACGACATCCGTGACACGTGTCCCGGAATTGCGCGGTCCCGCACAATGCAGGCAGTGATTATCGCTCGGCCCCATTGATTTCAGTGGGGTTACATCCGTGCGGCAATTGCAGAAAAAAAGGTACATGTGCCTTTTTTCTTGCGATAGACAACGTGCGGCTGTTTTTGAGATACACGACACGCGATCATATTCACGGGTGGAATCACGGCGGGAAACCGTGCGATACGACTGGGGTGCCATTAGAAAATAATGGCACCCACAGCGCGATCGGTTCACACCTTGGTGACTCCTGACCGCGTGGCAATCCGCGCGGAATCGTGCATGATTGCTGCGTGGTGGGATGTGAACCTAGCCTAAAACATTTTGGGGGGAATTGATCAAAACTGGAGCAGATAAAATCTGGAGCAGTTGCCCAGGGGAACCAATCAACTTCTCTTTTCAGTTCTCTCTTCAGTTTGTTCAGTTAAGATTTTCAAATGAAAGAGAAAAGCTGATTGGTTGCCATGCACAGCTGCTCCAGTTTTGGTAAATCCCCCCTCTTTGACTTTAATATCACTTTATTGATTGTAGAGCAGACAAATGTTTACAGATGTATCCAAGTACTTTATTATGTTCTTCTGTCCTTTTATCATTTATACATTTCCTGTATTTTAAATCTGTCTTTGCTGTCATTGTCACATTACAAAATAGAACCAGCTGCTTCATACACTTTAGCCAGAGATGCTGATCTAATGGCATTTAACTGGCATTGCAACATTCTGTTTCACATAGAGGGGAAAAGTCTTGTGTTGGTTAAATGTTTCTACATATGTGTTGTAACAGGCTGCAACTGGACTTGAATATTACAGATGTGGGCATAGGTGACATGAAATGATACTTTTACTGTAGAACTACAAGTACCAGCATGCTTAAGATACCCTGTCACCACATCTGATTTCAACTGAGTACATCAAGGTGAAGAGGAGGAAACGTTCTCACTAAGCATGGCTTTAATTTGTTATACTGAGAGGGGAATTTACCAAAACTGGAGCAGATAGAATCTGGAGCAGCATGCCAACCAATCAGCTTCTATCCTTCATTTTTGAGCTGATCAATTGTTTCAGTTTTGATACATTACTCCCCTGTATTTTGTTTGCTAGAGTTGCCATTCCTCTTATCTTAAAATTGACACTTCTGGAAGTGTCGGATTGTTGTGCCTCCCTACAACAATATGGAGGGAGACTGCGCCTAAGTGACTCCAGGTACCTACAGATATGAGGGAATGTTTTGTGTCTGTATCCTTTACCCAGTACCTCATGCCTGAGCCATTTGGCAGCTGGCTAGTACATGCACAACCAGTCGTCATCCAAAGTCTCTAGGCACCTTATGGACAAGTACTTCTTGGTATTCGCTCCAGTTTTTACCTTCCCTGTGGAGACTGGTAGGCTTTTGAATCATGTGATGTGCACCCAGGGCGGAAGGCTGCTAACTTTGCAGTAAATCTGTCATTTTAAATATAGGAGCTCGCACGTGGCTAATGACCTTCCGCCCAGCGGAGCAGCTCGCATGTGGCTCATGACCTTCCGCCCAGCGGAGCTCGTACGTGGCTAATGACCTTCCGCCCAGCGGAGCAGCTCGCACGGGGCTCATGGCCTTCCGCCCAGCGGAGCAGCTCGCACGGGGCTCATGGCCTTCCGCCCAGCGGAGCAGCTCGCACGGGGCTCATGGCCTTCCGCCCAGCGGAGCAGCCCGCACGGGGTTAATGGCCTTCCGCCCCTTGGAGTGGGCTACCATGGGGCTAATGATCTTCTACCCCTTAGAGTGGGCTACCGCAGGGTTAATGGCCTTCCACCAAACGTCACGTGACTGTGATTGGGCATAGGGATTGGCCACTGAGGTTCCAAGCTCTGCATCGTGGGACGGTCATGTGCTCCTACACTCCCAAAAGTATCAGGTGTTTGAAATGTTTCCTAGGCGAATAGAGTTGCAGGGGAGTTCAGCGAAGGGAGCTATCATAGGGGGTAGAGATGTCTGATTAAGAGAACCTGTCTTTTTATCCATCCAGGGCATATTAGAAGGTTTGCTTTAAACAGGCTTAGGAGAGATGACATCTTTCTATGCATTGCTTTAGGATATCTAGTTGCATGGATATCATACTGAATCAGTGATTTCAGTACCTTGGGTCACTGACTAGCTACAGGTTAGCAGATCAGGAGTTCTGGCTTTCCCGGTTTCCTTACTTTCTAGGGTAGTGACTCGGAGTATACTACAGCCAATAGATCAGCTTAAAAGCCAGGCAACTAGCATTTTCACACAAAAGGGACATCAATGGCTGCCTCCATACTTCCTTCACAAGTGCTAGATGTTTTTTCCTGATGGACTTAAAGTACACAGGGGTTATGATGAGCAGTGGTGTCCCTAGCTTTTTTGCTGCCTGAGGTGGAGTGGTGATGTCACTGATTGCCAGGAGCTGGGTAGGACGCTGGGCAGTGTCCCAGGTTGCTAAGAGCTGGGCAGGGGGATGTATATGGCCCTAACACATCTCCCCACTCTGGCTGTTAGCAACCTGTGACGCTCTGGCAGGAAAGGGGGCAGCAGGCACATCTTGGACAGGCAGATCGTACTTGCGATCATCGCAAGCCCGCCCCCCTGAGTGGCATGCTTTCTCGATGACTGCAATGCTGAACGGGCAGTGTGCGCATTGGCTGTAAGAGAAACGTTGTTCTAGCTATGGTACTGATTAGTCCCTACAAGCTGCATTATTGTGAACTATGACTGAATGTGATAACGCATGCTTCCTTTAGATTTAGTAATGCATTTTGTTTTTACAGGGTCTGATGAATCTGGAAGTCTCTTGACAAAGAATATAGGACCAATATGAAGGTGGAGTTTGCACCCATCAATATTCCCCTGACCCGGAGGCTGCAGACGGCTGCTGCGTTTCAGTGGGTCTTTTCCTTTTTGTTACTAGGTAAGGCCATTCATAGATCCTATGTGATCATACTTTCACAAGCGATACTTTGAAGATATGATTTAGTATATGGAACTTGTGCTGCAACGAATGATTATTTTTATAAGCGATTAGTTGGCCGATTTTTTTTTTTTTTTTCGATTTAATCGGATATAAAAAAAATACCATCCTTAATTTAATATACACAAATGGAGTGTTATAAACATATACTTCCGAATAAAACTGCATGCACAATCTTTTTGCAATCGCACTGCAACAAATACTGCTATTGGGTAGCAGACCTGTACCTTTTCCCCATAGCAAGGCTTGAGCTGCGTTTTTAGATACAGACCCAAATGAACTGAGAAAAGAAGTCAAGAATAAGCTCAAGCACAAATATAAAAATAGCTAATGTAAAGAAGGCTTCAGACCATTTAGAAACACTTGCGACTTGGTGACTAGTCAACGTGTGACTATAACAACACAAGGTCGCTTCACCTTCACCTTTATCCCACATTCATAAGTGTAGCTGAAGTTAAAAATAGGTGGAGCACGATGTTCTCTAGAACCCTGACTGAGTCCGGAAACTTTCTCAGAACATCAATTTAAATGACATGTCATTATTTATGTGTGCCTGGGGATAAATCCAGCTTTGCGGTGATATCAAGCAATTATATGTTTATGGAAAATGCTAATATGTTTATCTTGTGCTTTTGCATGGCTTTGCCAGACATGCACAGACAAATGTGTTTTACAGAATCTATGCTCTGCTCATATCTGTAAGAAAATGCTGATAAGGGCCCGCTTTTTGATACCAAAGAATTCTACTGTACTTATTTCAAATGAACAGCAAATTCAAGGAGGTCCGGTGAGCAAAATTTTCATCGATCCGAGGTCCAACTCGCAGTCCGGACAGAACAGCCACTCAGTCCATTCCTGGAACGCGGTCCTCCATTTAGGTTGCATTCACACCAGCCGTTGCACTGCAACTCACAGCTGCTGGCGTGTTTGCCCAGACACAGTGCTGATGCATCAATCCCGGCGTACCTCCTTGCGTTGCTTGTCCCCATTGGAGTGCCCCCTTGCGTTGCTTGTTCCCGTGGGAGTGCCCCCTTGCGTTGCTTGTTCCCGTGGGAGTGCCCCCTTGCGTTGCTTGTTCCCGTGGGAGTGCCCCCTTGCGTTGCTTGTTCCCGTGGGAGTGCCCCCTTGCGTTGCTTGTCCCCATGGGAGTGGCCCCTTGCACTGGCTGTCTTATCACATGGGTCCCGGCAGCTTGTCATTGCAGTCATGTACAATCTTCGTTTTCCACTCTTCATGCATGAATGAACATAGAAATATTTTCAGTTGTCAAAATGTGAAATGTTTTGTCTGGGCATTGCTGCATCTACAAGATAAAAGTGGTTGGTCAGGCCATCTATACTTTTATTCCACTCTGTTTATCCACTGTCTATGGAAGTGTGCTAAATGGACTTGTATCTTATGTTATGTCTATCTTCTCTCTGCAGCACAATGCTGTGTGGGAATATTCCTCTTGTTGGTCCTCTGCAGATTCTGGCTGGTCACAGCTCTATATGTCCTCTGGCTCTATTTGGACTGGGAAACCCCACAAACTGGAGGCCGCAGATCTGAGTGGGTGCGGAGCTGGACAATGTGGAAGTACTTCAAGGATTATTTTCCCATTAAAGTAAGTTAAAGAACTAATTTTAGCACATTATATGACAATAATCTTCCTCCCTAGTATCATAGGCATGAACATATGTCCTGAATCGTAAAAAATTATCTTGGTTTTACTTTGGTGTTTTAATAATTTCTTTGTCAAATGAACAAGCGCTTTTGGGACCACACAGGGTCCCTTCATCAGGCTTTAGCATTGACGTCAATGCTGGTGACATTTCTACAATTTGCTGATATTTGCGGCGCCATCCACAGTCACTGCGAGCACCCCCCACTACAAGGGACTTTTGGTAAGGAGTGCAACAAGGATTGTATTTATTGCCATCACCAAGATGGTCACCAGCCGTGACGTACATCACCGCACATGCTTGATGAGGTCACACCACAGACGCCATAACGCATGTGCGTTTGCCGCACCGGGCGACGCACAGACTCTGGTGCCACTGCTGTGTAAGCATTTATGCTAATGTTTACATGCGTACAGTGCAAATGCATCCTAGCAACAAGGAATGCTGTGCGGTAGGATCTGTCTAGCGTCCTGTGTGCACCGGGCTGTATTTGGAAATCATGTTGTCCTTCGCGCATAGCTCAGGTGTGTCTGTGTCAATTGAATGGTAGAGATTCTTGTGACTGCTCTCAGCATCTTTGGCACCTTCCCTCTTTTAGTTCTGCTGCTGAGTGTACTTGACCGTTTACAGAAATGGTTTACAACATGATAATAAAAGAAAAAATTTAATGCCAATAGTACCAGGGGCGGACCTACACCTGGTGCAGCCGATGCGGCTGCACCAGGGCCCCAACCTGGAGGGGTCCAGTATCTGAAACTCCTGGTGCAGAGATGGTGGGTTGATTCAGATGCAGTGGTGTCCCTAGCCTTTTTGCTGCCTGAGGTGGAGTGGTGATGTCACTGGTTGCCAGGAGCTGGGTAGGACGCTGAGCAGAGTGTCCCAGGTTGCTAAGAGCTGGGCAGGTGGGTGTATATGGCCCTTACACATCTCCCCACCCTGGCTGTTAGCGATTCAGATCGGTATCTGGCAGCCGGCAGGTCCCCCATCTCTGCATCGGGAGTGTTGGATGATCCGATCATCCAACATTCCCGGCGCAGAGATGGGTGGGCCCGCCGGCAGCCAGATACCAACCTAATAATGTGACACTCCTGGCGCAGAGATGAGGGGGCCTGCTGGCCGCCGCATACTGTGGAGGGAACCGGGGGAAAAAAGTCTGCAGGCACATTATGGGGCAGCGCTAGGGCCTCGGCCGTGAGGACCCAGTGAGCCGCCACCTGAGCACACGGGCGCGCTGTCTCCCACACACACTGCAGTGTTTTTCTGCAACCTCCAGCAGAAAACAGTTGAAGACCAGCCAGAAGAGGGGAAGGTAATTAATTCACTAAAATGTCATTTTTGTGTAGCCCTTTATAACTGATGGACATGCTGTATAAAATACTGCTGGTATTAGCAATGCATAATGGCATCCTCTATACAGGACTACACATCTCAGTATTTAATACATCAATGCTATTGTTGTATAAAGTATTGCTGGAATCTGTAGTCCTCTATAGCCTGTGCCATTCTGCATTGCTGTAATAAGGATGCACCAATACCCATGGCCGAAGCTAAGGGGGGGGGGGCATGTGTCACAGGGCGCTTCCTGGGACCTCACAATAGCCTTATAGGGAACCACAGCGGTGCCTGTATACAACGCCAACCTGCACTTGAGACTTGGTAAGACCCTTCTGCTGCCCTTGCTGCAATCTTTTATCTGCCCCCTTGAGATCCTCCATCTGCCCCGCCAAGATCCTCATCTACCCCTGCTGATTATTTCTTTGTGGTTGCTTCA